TAGTTTTTGGCGCATGAGTAAGAAAGTTTTTTCTGAACAATATTGACAAAATGTGATAAATTTGTGGAAGAAGGGTATGAAGAGAATTCGTAGTGGAATTGAAAAAACCAGCTGTTTAGCAAATTATTCCAATACACTGAAAGAAATAGGGAATAAAAACATATTTGTAGCTCCTTAAAGTAGGCTTTGAAAAAAGTTTGTTAAATTAACAACTTGAGGGTAATGTATTTAATAATTTAAACATATTTAAGAGTTTCAATAACTTTAATAAAATGTTATCAATATATATACATATTTAGCAAACATTTTGTTTTAATGCCTTAAAGTATGCTTTAGTAATAATTAAAGAAAATGACAAAAACTATGCTACAGTTTATTATATTAAAAAAACTTAAATAATATTTTAATGAATCTTCGTGATTTTTAATGTCATTTCAAAAGGTTTTTATTTTTTCGAACATAAGTTCGAATTTTCGAAATTATTTTTATACAATTTATGAATATGTATTTCGAAATAATTTTCAAAAATTTTTAAGTTTGAAAATGTAAGAAATTTAAACAAAACTTATATTATAATTTAATGAATCCTCAAGATTAATTTCGAAAATCGAATTTCTGAAAATGTTAAACAAATTCTTGTTTAATTATAAATTTATGATAAAACTTAAGACTAAGAAATATTACTTGGACAGAACATTCGAAACTATTTTCAAAATTTTTAAGTTCGAAATTCAAAAATGTAAAAGATTAGTTTCAAATAAAAGTTAAATTTAATTTTTATGAATTCTCATGATAAGGAGATTATTTTTAATGTTTTTTTTTTTTCAAACATAACTTTGAATTTTAAAAAATTTGAAAAAAATTATAATTTAATTATAAATCTAGAATTAAACTCAAGACAAAGCAAGAACACGAAAAATACTAAGAAATTCATGAATATTTCGAAATTATTTTCAAAATTTTTAAGTTCGAAATACAAAAATGTAAGGAAGTGGTCTCAAATAAAACTAAAATTATATATTTTTCAAATATAAGTTCGAATTTTTTTCAAATCCTTATTCTGAAAGTACATTGGAAAATGTATAAAAATGCTTAAATATTTCAAAAATTTTTAAGTTCGAAACTGAAAAAATTAAAAATTAGATCTGAACATAAACTAATATTGTATTTTTAAGAATCCTTATCATTTACATATTAATTAAAAACTTTTTTGTCGAACATAAGTTCGAATTTTTCCAATTTTTATGTTATACATATACAGATCTTAAAATTTTTAAATTTCCAAATTGACTTCAGATTTGGAGAATAATTTCACAGTTTCGAACTTTGTTTAAAAATTTTCATATTTTTTCTTTCATTTCAACTTTTTCCTTAAACTTTTCTCAGATTTTTATTTTTAAAACAAAATAATCAAAATTTGGTAATAATCTTTATATTTACAAGTTAAAATACGATAATTATCAGGAATATTCCAAGAACTTATTTTCTTATAGAACTTATCTTATTATTTTATCTTTTTAATACAATATAATCTCAACGTATTTTTAATCTTCATGTTCTGGAAAATTTTAATTCAAAAACTTAAAATACGAAAATATTCACAAATATTCCAAGAACGAGTTTATCGAAACAATTCAATATCTTTCAACTTTTTTTTCTAACAAAATAATCTAAATTTGATTATAATTTTTATATTAAAAAAAATATCATTTAAAAATATATTATATTATATATATATGTATATATATATATATTCAAGAATATTCCAAGGATTTATTTTCCTATAAAACTTCTCATAATTTATTATCCTTTTAAACCAAAGTAATCAAATCTTATAATGTTAAAATACTAAAATTTTCACGAATATTCCAAGAACGAGTTTATTGAAACAAAAAGTTAGCATACTTTCGGGCATTGATAAACAATTTCAGTAATTGACTTATAATATATAATCTTCTTTATAGAAACTAAAATGTTCAACTAGAGAGTAAAGTTTTGAACATATTTTTACAAATTGGTTTCAATTAAAAAATATTTTTAGCAAGTTTTCTTTAAAGTAACCCAAGTTTTGCACTTTTTTTCACAAAAGAAACGTTTCAATATTTTACAAATTTATACTAAAAGTATTGAAAATAAGTAAAATTTTTAAAATTTCTTTATAATACGATAATTTAATAATTTCTTAGTAAAACTTTCAAATTAAACTCACATAATTTATCACAAAATTCTTTGGTATTTTTTGTAGGCATTATTTTTTTATATAAAAATAAAATTTAAATTTTATTAAATTTAACTTGTTGTTAACTAATTGTTAAAAATTTGTTTAAACTAAAACTTTTTTATACTAAACAAAAATCTCAGTAGTGTGTTTGGCTAAAATTCCAGTTGACAACTGAATATAAAATCAGGTTGTTAACCAAAAACTAAATAAAACATAAATTTCAAACCCTTAATGAAAACATAACCAAAATCAACATATTCAAAACCTTTTATAAAAAGGAATTTTTAGCTAAAACATAAAAACAAGTCTTTAGCAATTTTGGGTATTTTTAATATAAACACTACAAGTCTAGTCATAATTATTGACAAAACATTGAAACAACAATCAACAGCCAGAGCCACGACGACGCTAATTGCATGTTAATATTATGCAGCAGAAGGAATAAAATGGCAGACACAGGTAGGAATTTTGAATTGTGGCGCAATTACTGTTGACTTTTGTGTAAAAATTAAAGGAATTTTCTTTCTCATTTTGTTTTATGATGATTGTAAGTGGTATAAAGTAATTTATACTAATAGTATATTTAGCATAAAGGTAGTCAAGTATTTAGTGTAATATTATACAAGCTGAAAGAGACGGCTAGTGTTGTTTGTTTGTTTTTCTGAAAATTGTTATGGTTATTTCGCATAATTTTGCTGTTTTCTTGTATATCATAAAGGAATTTTAATTTGAATAATGTTGCTTAATGCTAAAGTATTTACAAGAAGTCTAAGAAAAAGTATTTCGAAATAGTATTAAAATAAATTTAAAAACGTACAGACTTTTTCTTATTAAAATAAAGGAGTGAAATAATTCAAACAGAAGAAATAATTATTTTTTTGAATCCTCATGATTTAGAGAATGTTTTTAACAGTTTGAAAAAATTTTCGAACATAAGTTCCAATTTTCGAAAATTGCAAAATGTAAGAAAATCAAATTGAATGATTTAATTCTGACTACAGAACAAACAAACTGCTTGAAAACTTTTTTGAGAACTTTAAAATTTTGCATAATTTAAAAAATTTTCAAGCTCGAAATTGTAAAATTTAAAATATTTTCCTCAAATTAAACTAAAATTATATTTTTATGCATCCTGATGACATAGAGATTATTTTAACAGTTTAAAAAAATTTTCGAACATAAGTTCGAATTTTCGAAATTGGAAATTATAAGAAAATTTTTCTCAAATTAAACTAAAACTATATTTTGATAAATCCCCCGGATTTATAGATTGTTTTTAACAGTCTAAAAAATTTTTCGAACATAAGTTCGAATTTTCGAAATTGAAAAATATAAGAAAATTTCCTCCAATTAAACTAAAACTTTAGTTTTAGAAATCCCCTGGATTTATAGATTGTTTTTCATAGTCTAAAAAATTTTTCGAACATAAGTTCGAATTTTCGAAATTAGAAAATATAAGAAAATTTTCCTCAAATTAAACTTAAAACTATATTTTTATAAATCGCCATAATTTATAGATTGTTTTAACAGTTTAAAAAAATTTTCGAACATAAGTTCGAATTTTCGAAATTGGAAAATATAAGAAAATTTTCCTCAAATTAAACTTAAAACTATATTTTTATAAATCCCCATAATTTATAGATTGTTTTAACAGTTTAAAAAATTTTTCGAACATAAGTTCGAATTTTCGAAATTGGAAAATATAATAAATTGGCCTCCATACTAATACTTTTTTTAAATCCTCATGATTTAAGATTAACTAAAATAACTAAAACTAAAAATTGTTTGATCATGTATGTAAGTTCGAAATTTCGAAATTCCCCTCTCAAGAATACTTCTGATCAAAATTTTTAAATTCGAACTTGCTCTAAACTAAAAAAAAAACAAATAAAATCTCAACTTACCCCTTGATGTTGGATGATTCATTAAAATTGACAAAGGACATTCATCATCATCTAAGATATATTCAGAGCCATCGCTATTAACCTATAAAACGAAAATAACCAAACTTTATTAATAACAATTCTTCCGATCAATAAACAATCTGTTTTACCAACCTGTACTAAACAATAATGCATTGGATCGGCTTTTTCCAAACCGTATTTCGTTAACATTTCCCTAACCACCGCCTGAGCACAATCACGTATCGACAGCAGTAACGTTTTATAAGGCACATCTTGACATAAACTTTCACCGTAAATCTTTAGTGTACCACCCGTATCGGGTCCACCATCTCGTGAACGAAACTGTTGTAATTTCTTTTCCAACTTCTGTTGACGGCGGCGTCTCATTACTGCCTCCGGGTTTGAAATGGAACGTGTAAAGGAGGTCTCTGGTAGTTCGGTATATAATTTACCCGCTACTTGGGTTTCTGACTCGGTGCCATTCGAACCATTCAGACCGTTGGTATGACTGTTAATGGTGGTATTGGTGCCATCTGTATTTAGCTTGGCCAGTTTGTCCTTCTTTTTCTGTTCTTTTTTCTCACGTTTGGAGAGTTTTCTTTTGAAATTAATGTCGGTCTGTTCGATGGGCTAAAATGGAAAATTATGGATTTTTAATCGGAATGGGAAACTAAATGTCAAAATTGTACTTACGGTAGTTTTTTGATCAATATTTTTTAATAGAAATCTGCCTTCTCTGTCATCTATGTGCCAATTTAATTGTACCAGTAGAGGTTTTTCATCTGGATTTAAGCGTCTTTCTTCGCCATTAGCATGAACTTCATAGAGGGCATAATTGGGTACGGACAACATACGCATGTCGGGACGGAATTTTT